GCGCGCGCCGACTCTTCCTGCGTCGGGGTGCGGGGCCAGCGGAAGAAGTCGGGTTAACGTAATACTAGTCTTACCGAGGGTGCCGGGGTGTCAGCCGGTCGTGAGTGAGACCCAGAGGTGCCTCCCGCTAGCAATGGGAGGATCAACTTCTTTAGGAGACGAGGGGGTTTCCTTCTCACAGCCTTCTGGCGAAAGTAGAGGCGTAGGGTGGTGATGTCTGCTGTTAACCTTTGGTCGAAAAGCCCCTTCCTCCGTTTTTTCTGCTGAGTGCCCGCTGCAGGACTCTTTTCCAAGTGTGATGGAGGTAGGATGAAGTTTTAGGAACGTGTATATTAAGCTAAACATAGCTCCTTTTATCTCTGCTACAGCTTCCCCTATCCCCCCCACCCTCCCTGCTGGCCGTTTTGAGAATGAGGATGTTCAGAGATAGAAACCATATCCTGAAGGGCTGATATTCTGCAAAGACCTCAAAAGAAAATAATAATAGTCGTAATAATAATAACAACAACAACGATAATAGATTAAAATAAATAACCCCCCAAAGCACTACAAAATACGATCTGCAGGAAAAAAAAAAAACCAGACAAAATGTGTGATCCTATGATACTTTGGTCAGAAACGTCACCATTTCAGTGCTACTTTTTCTGTGTTAGTATCCCTTTTGGGGGGAGGGTAATGCAAGCTTTCAAGACATGAAACATTTTATAGTTCCATTACTGCAATGGGAGTGTTTTATTCATTTGTAAATAAGCGTTCATGCCTGTAGCTGACCCTGCTTTTTAGACGGATGTTGATATACTTCTATCAGGTATTTTTGACAGCTGTATTTCCTATTTAAGTACTATTCCTGAGTAAATGCATGCTTGCCACTGCTTAGTCACATGAATGGTTTGTTTGATGTGTACTGTGCAATGATTCATTATACTTCTAAATAAAGTTATTTTGATAATAGCAAGAAAAAATCATATCGTCATGATTTCTTTTCATATAACCCTTTTCTTCTTCAGAAACTTGTTTAGTGGCAGCTACCCTTTTTCTTTTATTTTATTTGTTTTTTTCACCCAGGACAGCTGCAAATGCAAAAGTTCCCAATAGCAACAGGAGGCATCACTTCAGAGGTAAAACAAGCAGCTTACACTGAAAAAGGGGGGAGTCCACCGACATGGCTTTTTAGCATATTTTTACTGTGAGGTGAAGCAAAGAAACCCTGGAGAGCTTTACTGTCTCACCTCATTTGTTTTCCTCATCACAGATTGAAACTATATGTATATATAAAGCCATCAGACCTTCGGCTAATGTAAATTAGCACAGTTCCAGGAAAGTCAGCTAAGAATCTGACTCACTATAACTACTTTACAAATGTTTACAAGATACTTCATGGTGGTTTTTTGGTTTTCTTAGTGCCTGATTTTAAAGCTACAAAGAAAGCGTATATCATTAAAATGATAATGATTTTACATGTGAGTCCAAAAGCAATTTAGCAGCCAACAAATAAAATGGTAAAGTAAAATGTCACCAGCTTTTTACACTGACAGGCTAAGTCTTGATAATGTCAGTTTGGAAACATCTTCTTTTTTCATTACTCACACTCTTACAACAATATTTTCCATGAGCCGTTCTCACATTCATTTGCTCTCATATCCTTTTGAAATACTCCCAAGTTTCTGAACTTTCATCTGCAATGTAGAAAGTGCTGTGTTCAATTGGTCCTTTCAGCTAGTACCATAGCTAGGTCTGTGATATGTGAATGTATATGAAAGGAGGATAAAGTTTATACTTTTTAGTCCTCAGATTAATACAATTTTAATGGAGAAGACCAAAAATAACTACTGCTAAAATTTTTACTGTGAAAAAGTCATGATGAAAATGAAAGTTTGCACTAAGATTGGAAAACAGATTTTTGTATGAAGATCTGACCACCTGACCTATCAACTAGGGAAGACCAGTTAATTCTCACTGTTTTTCACATCCTCCTTTCCATCCAGCATGCACTTCACAGCAGTGCTAACTGAAAACCTAAACTGTTAAACTGTTTCCATCATAAAGAGCAACACATCCAACTCCTGCAACCACAGCCTAAGCCTGTTTGCTTCTAGCTGGTTATAGTCCTTTTTCAGCTACTTCTGTCATCTCTGTACACCAGTTATGTTAATTTTTAGCGAAGGTTAAGTTACATGCCATAGTTTTTTCAGCATTATCTGTCCCTGATGTCCAAAAGTAAGTTACAGACTGTTACCTTGTCTGTGAGAGCCTCATATGTTTCTCAGGAGTTTTAAAATATGCAAGTTGCACATTTTCAGATTTTCCTCCACATTGTAGCATCACAGAATAATTCAGGTTATTGAAAGGGACATTCAGGTTGGAACTCATCAGGTCCAGCCCCTGCTTAGGATATATACTGCTGAGACCCAAACACCAAGGATGTGTATTCCACAGCCTCTCTGGGCACATGTTCCAGCATTTGACTATGCATATGATGATTTTTTTTTTTTCCTAACATGTAATGTAAATTTCCCATGTTCTAATTTGTGCCAGTTGCTTTCTTGTCCCATCTCTGTGCTGCTCCTTTGAGAAGAGTCTGGCTCCATGCATTCTCTCTATTTTTCCACTAGATTCTTGTAGACAGAAACAGGACATCCTGTCCTTGCCATGTCCTGTGCTTTTGTTTCTCTTTTCTGGGCTCACTCCAGCAGGTCAGTGCCCTCCTTGTTCCAGGGAGCCCAAAACTTGACAAAGTGCTCCAGAGGTGATCTTGTAAATACTGCATACAGGAAAATAATTATTTTCCTCAACTACACTCTCACTAGTAAGGTGCAAGGTGAAGATGGTCACCTTTGTCACACAAGGACACTGCTGAATCATGTTCATTTTTGTGTAAACCAGGACATTCAGTTTATTTCTGCAAAGCTACTTTGTGTTGGGTTGACCTCCAGGCTGTGTTGTTGAATGTCCTTATTCCATCCCAGATGCAGCACTTGACACGTGCCATGGCCTGAACTTTGTGAATTTCCCATCAGTCCATTTCTTCATCCTGTTATTGTCCAGAACACCAGCCCTGTGCTCCAGTGTGTCAACTATCCCTCTCCAGTCTGGTTTTCTGTCTAAAACTCTGTTGATCGTGCTGTCTGTCCCATTGCTAAGGTCATTAGTAAACAATGCTAAACAGTAGTGATACCAATAGTAGTCCCCACGGGATGTCACTAGTAATTTGTTGTAAGCTGATGTTTGTATGCTGATAAAAATGTGTTGATCTCACATGGACTTCGATCCCACTGCTTCTTTACTTGTCTTTGTCCACTTATTTATATCTCACCAACATAGACTATGTCAAATGAGCAAACCTTGCTCAATTCAAGATATACAGCATCCAGTGTTCTCCCATTGTCCACAGCACAGAAGGATATGCATGATATGCCTTTTGTAAATCCAGTCACCTTCTTTTCCTTCATGTACTTTGACATAGCAGTCTTCATATCTTTGCAGGAGATCTATGAAGATCTTCATAATCTTTGCAGGAGATCTATGAAGACTGGCAACAGTTTTAAAGAATAAATTGCTACACAACAAATTCTATCATTCGTATAAAATCAGGCATTACACTTTAATCATGCTTTAAAATCATGCTTTAAAGTGGGAAGAGGTTTTGGGAGATTGCAGCAGTATGCACATCCTGAAAATTTCACTGTGTTTAGCTCTAATGCTGTTAGACCAATTTCTAGTTGGTCAGAATCTCTTACCGCCTGTGCACCCACTAGGTGGCATGATGATTCTGCTTTATTAGCAAGTGGAAGCAAATCTGCTCTCCTGAGGTACCAAAACCAGAGAAGCACCGGACAGAAATTAAAGGGCGTGAACTCTTTAGGTGGAAGTTCTAATTCAGCAACAAAATTACCTTTTTTTCTGTGTCGTTTAAGCATTAGCAATCCACAGGGATTCTTCTATGAGCCTTCCGTGGTATAAGAAGAGATATTTTGCAGAGGGCAGACTGTCCTGTTATTTCACTAAGGCAGATTGCCTAGTGTAAAAATCACCAATTTTCTTAAAAAATATGTTTTTGAAAATTTAGATTCTTTTTAAGTCACATATCACAGAATCAGAGAATGATTGAAGTTGGAAGGCATCTCTGGAGGTTACCTAGTCCAGCCTCCCTTGTCATGAAAGGGAGTGGTTTAGGTGTCCTAAAGAATCACCGTCAAAGGTATTAGCCAAAACAAGCTTTAATATAAATTTGCAGAAGCACAATAAAGTTTGATGGCAAGGTTTATGCTATTAATTACTGCATGAGTAATACATACAAAGGAAAGTAAAATTAGAATCAATTAAGAGGGATTTATAGAGAGGCCAGAATGTAAAGGGGTAAGGGAGGAAAATGTAAACGACACTCTTAGTTGAGTCACAAGATTCAGACTGAATCCCCCTTGCTTCCTAAACTCCTTCTCAGAGAGAAGTCCACATGCAGCTGGATTCAATCTTAGGCTCAGACTCAGTCAACATTTATGTCTAAAGGATTTAACAGCAATTAATCATAGCAACACTTATATGTTAGGTTAACCACTGATCACCTATAAACGTAGCAATAATAACAATATTATAGATTCAAGATAATAACAGGTATACTCTATTTGTTAGAAGGTACTCAAGTTGATACATATACACACATACGTAAGTATAGGCAGATGTACAAAGGTAACACACGCACACAAGGATATGTCTATGTATATATATATATGTAAAAGTATACCTATTAAAAATTTCCCTAGAGAATTAGTGAAATACATCTAATACCTTTTTGGTGTTTCTCGACAGGTGGGGGTTGAGCTTCCACTCAGGTCCCATCGTCAGCCAACAGTCTCCCTTTCATGAACTTGAGAGTTTGTGCACTCTAAGAGGTGTCCCACTCAGAGTGGGATCCTGGTGCCAGGATGATCTGGATGCCTTCTGCCACCCAGAAGTGCTCAAAGGGTCTTACTTAGCACTGAAGTTTATAGGGTCGTGAGATGGTTGGCTCTAGTTATCAATAAATTCACTTGGAGCATTCAAATTTAGGAATGTTTCAAGGCTAATGGGGGAATGATCCCTGCTCTCATCTCCCACGCAGGAGTTCCTGGTATGGGTCATGCTGCCTTAGTCTTGCAAGAGTTCCTGATACGATTAAGGGATGCTTCACTGCCAAGGTCTTACGCAAAGGCCAAGGTCTGACATGAGTTATTGAAACTGGAGAACAAGCCTGAGCAGGCCGGGGAAGCAGGGAGGAATGCACCATCACACTCTTCTCAAGCAGGGCCACCTACAGCCGGTTGAACGGAACTGCGTCCAGGCAGCTTCTGAGGATCTCCAAGAATGCAGACACCATAATTTCTGTGGACAATCTCTGTCAGTGCTGGGTCACCCTCACTGTAAAATAGTGTCTCCTCATGCTCAGAGGGCATGTTTCAGTATGTGCCCATTGCCTCTGGTCCTGTCACTGAACATCACTGAGAAGAGCCTGGGTATGTCCTCTTTGTACTCTCCCTTCAGATGGGAGTTCTCTCTAGACTGAAGAATCACAGTTCTCTGAGCTTTTCTTCATAGGAGAGATGCTCCAGTCCCTTCACCAACTTCATGGCCCTTTGTTGGACTATCTCCTGTATGTCCATGTCTCTCTTCTGCTAAGGAGCCCAGAACTGAAGAACTGAAGAATTGAATTTTCAGAAAGAAATGGCCTCAAACTGCACCAGGGGAGGTTTGGACCAGATATTAGGAAAAATTTCTTCACCAAAAGGGTAGTCATGCATTGGAACAGCCTTCCCAGAGAAGTGGTAAAATAACTGTCCCTGGAAGTGTTAAAAAACATGCAGATGAAGCCATTAGTGACATGGTTTAGTGGTGCTCTTGGCAGTCCTGGGTTAAAGGTTGGACTTGATGATCTTAAAGGTCTTTCCCAACCTAGATTCTATGATTGGACTCAGAAGTCCAGATGTGGCTTCAACAGTGCTGATGATGTAATGCTATTGTAAAGGTATTCCACAGTTATGCTTTCTCTTCTGTTTTCTTACTTGTGCTTTCTCTTTAACACTACAAATGTGCTAACAGCTGTACAAAGACATTGATTTTAACGCACATCTCAGATATTTGTACTAACCACCAAAGAACGAAGAAGTGACTCCTGCTGCATTTTTTTGTCATTATTACGGTCAAATGCTCACTCCCAGGTTCTGTAAAGATTCTTTGCCACCCTCTGAATTTGCCCCTTTTCTTTCCGTCAAGGCCGCTGTTCACTGCTGGTAAACTCCAGTAAGAGTTGTCAGGTTTTGCTTGATATTATCTTTTTTTCCTGGATTGACCATGAGGCTTGATACAAAAGGAAAGTCACCACAAGAGACATTTACCAAATTTGTTTATCACCTTCATAACTACACGCTTGACTAACAGAAGCCAGTAAGATATCATTATGTTTCAGAGTAATCTGGTTCATTGCTGACCCTGTGCACTTCCTCTTTGTACTTCTCTTCTTATCCCTTCCAGCTTCAGAATTCATCGTAGACTTTTTGTTTCCAAGATACTCAGTTATCATCTTTTCTTCCTCATTAAGTGCCCAGGACTAAAACTTTATTAAAAATTGATCCTGTTATAGTCTTGGAAATGAAAACTCTCTCTTGTTCAAAAGCTTCCATGAAGAATCTTCATACTGTAAAGCACAGGCATT